TGACGGGGACACTGCAGGGTATACTAGGACGATTCTGAATTTTGATTCTGGGTTCATAGGTGAGATTGACGTTTTAGTACGAGAAGCTAAAACCAGTGTTTGAACAACCAAACTAGTGAGGGATTAGCACGGCATACCGGGTTTGTCGTATCACGATAATTAAATTGATACTTAGAATTGATCTAGGTGAACTAGAATGGCATGATTAGGGGTGTATGGAATTTTGTGATATATTATGAACCCTTGAGTGCAATATGATATTATTGTCTCTCCCTAATCCATATTGACCTTGTTTATGCTGATGATTGCGTATATGTTGCAACTTGTGGGCTTGACTGTTGATATGCCTTATGATGGTTCGAGAAGGTGATTGAGTATGATTTTTCATGATTTTTGTATTTGGATTCAAAAGTGGGAAAATATATATCCCATGGTGATATTATGATGTTTTAAGGAGGATGACTTGCACGAGGGTTTATCTCGAGGAAGTGCAATTATATGACTCCTGGTTTACCTATGTCGAGGCAATTGTGGCCAGGTCAAGAACATGTCCAAGTAATGAATTATGATTAAGCAAGATGAGATCTGAATGATGTATAAGGATATCAAGTAAGATTATTTTTGGCTCATGGTCAATTACATAGTAATTAGGGCTCCCCATGCTATTACTCTGTTATAACATGATAGTCACAGCTCTCTTGCGGTGCTGACTGAAGATTATGATATGCATGATAGTCACACCTCTCCTGTGGTGATTACTGAAGATTACTTATGAGATATGACCACACCCAGAGTGGTGTCGTGTATGGCTTCACCTATGGTGGTATGGGGGTATGTATGTATGATCACATCCTAAGGGACGCTTGGTGTGTATGGTGGCCCGGGAGAGTTATTAGGATGGGAGTGGCCAGACGCCTTTTAGTAAAACATGATAAGACGCATATGCATAAGTCAAGGTGGTTGAGTCTTTTTCCTTAGGATGTTGGATAGATGAGGTATGATCCTAGTGTTTTGGCTTGATTGATAGATGTATGATAAAGGTATGCTCTGTTATGAACTCACTATGCGATGATTGTCTCACTCAGGTATGAGCTGACCCTCTTTTATCATTTTCCTCTACTTATGCCATGTGTAAGCAAATTATATCATCAGCAAAGGTAGATAGATGTATAGGTGGGAGTTGAGCAAGAGTTGAGGGCAAGATGAGGTATGGTCTTCAACTTTTTTGTGCTTGGACGACTACTTGAGATTTTGGCCAGTGATCCACACCTTTCTGTAAAATTGTTTAGAGAACTTTTTCATGTGCATACTAGCTTCTGATGCAGTGTGAGATATCCACAAGTGTGGATAGTTGACTATATGTATATATGTGTGAGGTTGTGTTTGTAGTGATGATTATGGCATGTATAAGTTTGGTATGCAGTAGTGGAGTATGAAACTGTGCTTATGGCTATGAAAAGTCAATGTATATGGTTATGAGTATATATGTCTACCTATTATTGCAGGAATTAAGGTTAATTATTTTGCAGGATTAGTTGCAAGAACTGTTAGCCCATTACGCGAGTAATTCATGTCAAATTTTATTTGGATAATTCTGGAAATTAATGTAGCTCCCAAGTTAAATTCTGCTGCAATTGTATGAACAATATGATTAGGCAAATTGTACAGGGTAGGGTGTTACAAAGAGTCTTGGCAACCGAAAGTGGGGAGCTTCGGCTATGTTTTGGGATTTCGGTAGGAATTAATCATTTTAATTAATTGAGGGGCAAATTGGGAATTCGAGGGTAATTTAGGTACCGAGTGTTACATTTCCTCCCCGCTTATAAAAATTTCGTCCTCAAAATTTACTCATTTGTTAATTCCCCGTTTCGCTTATCGAAATCCTTTTACTATGGGGCTTGGTCTCCATAACTTTTGCAACATGATATATCGAATCCTTCTTGCCAATCGTATGCGATTTTAGTGGCCCACCCATTTCTTGCATCTCATACTTGCATTAATTACCTAGACTTGATAATTTCCCTACACCTCGTAGACCTCCTCAAGCCCAGGGTTAATGGTGTTCCTCCTCATTATGACTATGAGGACTATTTCCCGAGCTTCGCAAATTTCAATTGAATCTTTCGTCGTGAGCATTTTTACTTGTTCACCAATACCCAGATGTTTTGGTTGACTAATCGTACCTCCACTCTGACGCACTAAAGGTGGTTCCTCCTTTTATTACCAATCATATACCCCAGCTACTGCTTCCATCTAAGATAGGACAACCACAAGCTAATGCCTGTCGAGCTTTGCTTTCTCTTATAAAAAAATTTTGCATTTTCTTTTTCCACGGTCATGGTGATTCGTAGGGCCTCTTGAATCCCTTATCATAACTAGATGCATCATTCTTTCGACTTGGTGACTTGCTCATACTAGGTAGTTTGGATGTGTTTCCATACTTTTACCACCATTCACTGGTGTGACATTATTCCATCATGTAAACTTTTCCCCTTTTCATGAACTTTCTTTAAAGCTTTTTAGTATGTTGGGTTTAGGCTCTTGTAATCTTTCCGTAGCTCTTGTGTGTGCTAGGATACAACCTAATCCACCAGGTCACTTTCTCTTCCTGATCTTATATAGGTCTTGCCCCTTTGAAGGCCTTGAACTTTCTGTAGTCCTCAAAGTCCCTATAAGCTATTCTTAACTTGTGTAATTTGACTAGGTTGTCATCCTTGATGTTTATAGATGATCCTGCCTCCGCCTTAGAGTTTACCAATGAGCTCCATGAAGTCTTGTAAAACTTCCCCTAGTATATTTGTTAACTTAACGCCTCCCTATTGCTGCTTAGAGTCAAATTCCCCATCTTAGCTACTGAATGACTGCCATATTATATTAGGTCTCCAGAACTGTTAGAGGACGAGACGTGATGCCTTGAAAACTTATTCATAACTATTTCGTAAATATTTTTAGAAAATGTTGAAGTGCTGAGACCGACTCCCAGTATCTCACTTACAAAGTGCAGATAGAGGGAAACCAGGCTCTAATACCAAAATGTAACACCCTAATCCGGTCGAGTATTACTTTTACCAAAATGCCCTTGATAAATAAGAAACATTAATTAGATGGGGAGGAAAGGAAAAACGTTCTATAGGGGAAAACTGGACATAAAATTTTAGAAGATCAACCTAACGTAATACATTTGACTAAAGTCAATAGTCTTCATAACACTGCATCAAGTCTCAAGTCCCATAAGTACCACAGTTAACTAACCTCTTCTTCAATAGAACCGTATCTCGCTTCCCAAGTAAGGGTTCTGCAAGAGGCACGAGGGAATACGATCTTGGCCTTAGGGCCAGGTAAATTTGGTCTACACTACACGACAGATCAAATTTTGGCGTGGTTGTCGGGGACATCTCACAAACTTCAAAAAATGGAACGAGACACACGTTCTATTTTTTGCTTCCCAGTGTTCACACCTTCCAAGAAAATGGGGGCTAGAAGGGCCAAATTCCTATACACTTTCGGCACTCGTAGCATAGATTTTCAAGGAGAGTGCAGAAGCTCCAATCTTCCTAACATGTAAGATTAGATTGGGGTTCTCATGACCTCACTCTTAGGACAATATACACACCAAAAAAGGCCATATGTCATACTAGCATGGCCTCAAATCACCACTTAATCGTACCGCACCAGGAAGTCAACCTCCTCGAGCAAAATCGACTTCCTTTCGAATTGGCAAGGACACTAACTCTTACAGGAGTGGCAAACCACTAGACGAAGAGAAGAGCAAAGAAGGGCGAACCCGTATCCCGATCTTGGGAGTCGAATAATATAAACTACTTAAGCCTCGACGGACAACACAGACTCTGGTGTGCCAGCATACTGTGCTAAGCATAGAGCTCGCCAAAAGCCAAAATATGCCATCATGTGCTATCAGAGCGGGCTGAGCTTAAAATGTTAAACGAAATGGGAGGCCAAGAGAGCATGATCATCCCTGACATGCCCATAAGATAATAGCCACTTAATGCACCAAGAATGACGTATCAAACACTCTTCTCATTATAGAGAATAAATCTGACGATAAGGGAGATGAACCCCGCAAGGTAGCAATGAGACATTTTCGTTACGTCCTCTCTACGTCCGTTTCTTGCCATAATATCCTTACTTTAATTTTACACACATTATCTAGCGGTTGGATTGTGGTTAAAGCTAAGGAAACTAGAAATTTAAACAAGCAAGAAAGTAAACTTTGGTGAGTTCGATTTGAGAAAGCATCAATCATGCATTGCTCCCCCTAGTGTCATTTCAAGATATAATGAATGAATCACTAGTGTGATAGGTATGATCATACAACATGAGGAGTTCACAATTAGCCTGTAAACCCTAACCCTCTCAATTGATCGATTAAGGATTGTCACTATTAGCTAAGAAACCCTTGGCCTCTTAATTGAACAACCAAGGTTCACAAAAAAAATCCCTCTCACGTTAATCTGAAATGGGAAAAAGTAACCAATCACGACGATATAATCGCACTACTTTGATTAATGAGGCATGACCCAAATTGTCCTAGGGAAGGTTACCCAAATTGCCAAGATTGGGTTACAAGGTAACACAAATAAGTAGAACTGGCAATCGGGTCGGGTTGGGTAATTTTGGGTTGGGCCATACGGTTACGGATCGGGTCATGTTGGGTTGGCTGATTTCAGGTCAAATATTGACCCAACCCATTCGGTATCAGGTCGGGTTACAAGTCATTTCGGGTTATGAGCACTCTTAGAAACAATATCAAACATGCTTCATATTTTCTTAAAGAACACAAATTTTCACATATGCATGGCAATAGTTTACCTAACACATGTCAATTAACATATTGCCAATCCTCCAATGCTAATGAAATGAAAAACAAATTGAAAATCGTCAGAAAAAAATCACAAGAGTAATACTACTATAAGAAACACATGATATTTGATTATCCTTAAACTCCAAACATGTCATTCAAATCCTTGTGAATTTTTGTTAAATATCTCACCAATTTATGAGTGATTTCTTCATTCTGTGAGTGATATATAAAATGGAATGTGTCTAACGGGTCAACCCGCTAACCCACCCAACCCGACCAAAAAAATCATGGGTTATCGGGTTGGGGTCATTCCAGTTATAAAATAGTCTACTTTTCAGGCAGGTTCGGGTCGGGTTATAATTTGCTAGGTCTACAAATAAGATAGAAGAAAAACCCATTACAAAAGTGATCTTCCTTCCTTTTGGATGCTTGATTCCACCTTGGGAGAAGAAATCAACCTTCCTCTAGCCTTGGATAGGTAAAAATCTCCTTCCTCCTTCTTTAGCTCATAGCTTTCTCTCTCTTACTGTTGAAGAAGAAGCTCCAATCTCTCTCCAGGACTCCCCCCTTTTAATTCAGCTAACTCTCCCTTTTATAGTCCCCGAGTGCAGGAATCACGGTCCAAGATCACACCCATGAAGTTGACAAGGCAACCATGATCTCGAAAAAAAATTAGGATCATCACGGTGTGGGTGCCATCTTCGCGGTCTGCACCCGTGATAATTCCTCCAAAACCGTGATCTCTGCATCTTTGACCATTTTGCTCCAGTCACCCCCTCTTTTATCCGAACTTCGATCCTGATCCCAAGATTACATGCTTAGGTCTGAAATATGACACAACAAGAACACACCTAGAATAAAATAGCTCATAGGATCGAGGAAACCAAGAAAAACGGCACAAGTGTAACTACCCCATATCGTGCCAAGTGTAACTCGACATGACATTGCTATACAGTGGTGACCAAGGTCGTATTACCCGGGTTTCGGTATCCTAGCTTACTTCCCGCTCTATTATTATCTAACCGATCGATTTTTGGGGTTTGTTTTGGAGGTGATAATTGAACTACTAGTAGAGTGAAAATACAGGGATAAAAGCAGGTACTTCAGGGTAACTCCATCACCATATATTAGGTCTAACATGAAAATGACTAACTATGTTGGGTTTATAGGATATGATGCATGAGTTCTCTAATTTTGTTGGCCTGCGTCGTTATCCCACGCCTCCGAGTACGTCCCCCCAAGACCCATTAGCACTCCATTTAAGGCCCACCTATTTGGGGCATTACGGATTTAGCTAATTTTAATAGGTTCTACCTATCATCCACACTAAAGACACGCATCGATACATGCTTGCGGTCCCCTTAATCATTTTATAGGAAAGTGTTCTTGTAGTAGGGGTATGATCACCACGTCTAGTACAAGACCTTGAAACAATTTACCTACCCTTAATCTGCTAGACGACACTACCCAATTTAACTGTAAAACTCCAGCCTAATGATGGGTCAATTCAAAGCTAATAGGGAAGAGTAGGACGACGTACCAAAGCATGATTAACCATATATGAAACAATAAAATCAATGGAGAGATCGCAGGCCGACTTCATGGTAGCGATATGTGAGTCAAAGCCGCGATCTTTCTCGCAGGCTGGGAAGTCGAGGACGACGATTTGACTTGCAAAACTCTCTGCTTCTCCCAGGTTGGATCCTCCTTAAGTTCACTACTGGAGCCTCCAATATCGCGGCCATGATCTTTGCTATGCAGGTCATGATCTTCACTCTCACTTCGTGTGCTCCTTTATCGATCGTGATCTTCCTTGTCTAGACTGGGATCTTCACCTTTTTCCCATTCTTGCTACACTTGTGTCCTTTTGGTACCTAATTCCTTTTCTATTCTTTGGTTTTGAAGGATTGCCTCCATCGTTGCTTCATTTCGAAAATCTCTTGCTTGGAAAATCGGTGAAGGCGCCAGACGAAATGTTGATTGATGTAGCACTACTTCTTTAGGCACTCTCCCTTCTTGTCCTTCTTCATCGATCATGTCCACTCGTCCTCTTGTTGCTGTAGATTCTGGAAGTTGGAATATTGTACTGGCCATGTTCAAGGTATTGGTTGTAGGAAAGGGTAGGTCACAAATTTCCCATATGTTATCTTCGCTCAAGCGCAATGCCTTGATGCGTGACTTCTGCGTATCGAAGGATATAGGAATGGTCCTAGTATAGCGAAATTGAACTGCCCCAAAATCAATTCGAAGTAACGTGCAAGACGAGTAACATATACACCTCCATGTAGAGCAGTCAGTCGATGATCCTTTTCGTATCTTTTGAATATGTACAAAATCGCCAATCCGAGGGGTAAAGAGTGAGGGTGATGCATGCTATAGATGAAGTGATGTCTCGGGCAGTTAAATTGTTGTTACTCTTGTTTTTCCCACCCATGTACCTAGCAATCACGTGGTACATCAATCTCCACTCCAGATTCACTTCACTTGCCTTTGATAGCTTAACATCCCATTGCCAACTGCCGATATTCTTGACTTTAGATTCATAGAATGCCTTGAAGAATGGAAAGTCAGATTCCCTAGTCAAGGTAGAAAAATCTTTTGGTGAGTTAACAAAATCCGTTGGGTAAATATCCATAGCTCTAGGAAACTTCTAGAGCGTCATATGGTTGTGTTCTCCGCCTAGTTTGAATTCAATGTTGTTCAGAAGATCATTGGCACCTCTAACATCTCCAATGGTGAGTGTACCTGATGAATTCTAGAACAAATACCGTGTAGATGTTTACTTGAATTCTCAGCAATTTCAGCCACTCATATTTCTGTATCTTGGAACGAATGGCTTCTTCTATCTCGAGATTAACAAAAAGGATCCAGTTGAGGCACGTGATTTCACCTTAAGGAAGATCTTGGAGCCATAAAAGTTTGGCTTTAAATTGCTTGGGAAGATTTTCCGGGAATGCATGAGTGAGGTGTTCGATTCCCACTCTTGGGCTAACTTGATTCCCTTGTTGATCTTCTTGAGGTTTCTCAAAAGGTGGTGGTTGTTGTGGATTTGGTTCTTCAATAATCGCCTCCTTCGAACGAGATTTACTCTTTTTCTTCTTAGAGAAATGGCATAGATGAGTAGGATTAGAATTCTCCATATTGTTGGAAATCTCTCCCCAGGCCATATCCTTGTGCTCGTGAGTAATCCTACAAAAGAAGTGAAAACAAGAAATGCACAAAAACCATAAATCCGTTCATCAAATCCATGGTTCTAAAAAGCACGCCTAGGCACTCGCCTAAGCTCGTCTAGGCACTTGCCTAAGCTCGTCTAGGCGCAAGTCAGAAGGAAAATGCCTCGCCTAGTGGAGAAATCATCACGATCACGTTATAGCCTCGGTGTCACCTAGTCAACATTGAGTTGTGCCTCAAAATGATGTCATGATATCTTTTTCTATCCTTTACAACCATCTATGTTTCCCCCACACTTAAGTGGAACAATGTATGCAAAGGTGAAAACATAGATGGAGAAATAGGGCCATGATGACATTACAAGCATTCATTCACCACAAATTGACCTAATTCAAACATGCAAGGTTCACTTATAAGCGTAAATGCAAAGCATAGGATCAATAAAATTGAAACTATGTGGATGGGGATTCATCACACTTTGTGGGAAAATGAGAAAACTCAGAACATGCATAAAAATGCCCCACCAATGGCTCCTAATGCGTATAAGATAACATTGAAGCATAGTAATCAATCCTATGGCTCCTAGGAATCATGCGATGGCCTATAAAAGTATCAAAATTCTCAAATCTCTCAACACAATTTTGACCTAACCAAGGCACTAAATAATGAGAAAATGAAAATGTGTACCTTATTTTGCTTGGAGGCATGAAGATAATCCAAATAGAAAGAAATACTTCACAAAAGATGATAAAAAGTGTTGAGAAAAGAAGAGAAGTATGATTAAAAGGCTAAGAAAGTTTTGGGAACATGGCTTTGGAACTTAAAAATGCTTGGAGAGAAAACACATGATTGCAAAGTGCATCTCCCCTCATATATTCATGGGTAAGATCGTGGCCTAGAGTCAAAAGATCTCGTCGTGATCTTTGACTCGTCAACCACGATCTTTGCCTTTGAAGCAAAGATAAATTTTTCTCACCACACCTAAGATTCCTTCTTCATCTAAATATAACATTCATTCAAAGACAGAAATAAGGCAAGGGCTACGTTCTATCAATAATTCACTGGATAGATGAAATGGCCCCACTTCACCAATATATTCTCAATAATTCTACGTGGCTCAACAACGGATCTATTTTCCAATTCAATTCTCATGATAGTAGGGGTAAGTGGACCAAGATCCAATTCCTTGTTGATCATTTTTGCCATGGTATTAATACTCGATCCCAAATCTGCTAGTGGGTTGCAAAAATTCTTGACTCTGAAGGTACACAAGATGGTGAAAATTCCAGGATCTCTCAATATAGGTGGTATACCTTCATAGCCAATAGAAGTTGAGGCAACTTTGCTAATGGACACCATAGAAACCTTTTCCGTCTTTCTTTTTCCTGACAATATTTCCTCTAAAAAGTTAGCGTACTTGGGAATTTTCATGACCATGTCTAGAAAAGGAACGGTTACCTTAAATTGTTTCAAGGTATCATTCCATTAAGCGCATTTTTCAAATTTTAGGTCACTATTGAATAACCTTCTAGGGTATGGTGCTTTTTTAATAAGATTGGAAGCTTGAGTCTTCTTAGAGAATTCTTTGTTCTCGATCTTGATCTTGATAGGAGGTTGCACCTATTCTTCGACTATCTCCTCTTCTTGCATAACTTCTCTTTGAAATTCTCTTACCGGTGTTTTAGGTGCTGTAATAGGAACCTCCTTTAGTGGCCAGCCACTCCTTAGAGTTACTGCGTGACAATGCTCTTTTGGATTAGGTTCCGTGTTTCACGGTAGAGCTCCTTGTGGTCTCACCGATAGCGATTGTGCCAATGAGTTTAATTGTGCTTCAAGATTTTGGAGTGAAGCTTGATGGTTCCTTTGACCCGCTTGCAAACTAGAGAACTTAGTTGTGGTATTCTCCAGGAACTTGTCAATGGCTTCAAACTTCCTAGTAGTGGTTGCAATAATTTGCCCTAACAAGGCTTCAAGTTAGCTACTCGACCATCAGAGGGTCGAACTTGATCCGAATATGCTCCTTGTTGTGAAGGTTGACTTGGCCTCTCATAAGTGTTTTGCATCGGCACTTGAGATTGAAACCCCAGAGGTTTTTTTATCCATGGGGGAGGACCAAAGAAAGTTGGGATGATTCCTCAAACCCCATTTGTAGGTAGAGCTACAAGGATTAGTTCTTCTTGATTGACACCAACGAAGTTGGTTTGCTCATACTGTATTATGGCTTCAACCATAGCCTTGTATTCCTCCATATTATGATTCAAATCACCACACCAATCACATTTTATCAATTTCTTACCATTGCCCTTCATTGGTGCGTGACTTGATCGATCTTCTTTGTAAGTTTTTGCAAATGTGCCGCAAACTTCCCTTCTTCACACTCTTCCCTCTTCTTCCGTCTCCCCAATCATAATTGTTTAGAACCATCAATCAATCTTTGTAATTCACCAACTTCTTTATTTCTAATAGCTCCTCCATTTGCCACATTGATTAAGTTTCGAGTCTCGTGTCAAACCATTGTAGAAGCTTTCAACTTGCAACCAATTTTCAATACCTGGTGAGGATATTCGAGTAGGAGAGATGTGAACCTTTCCCCAACTTCAAATAAGGGTTCACCTTCTTCTTGACGAAACATTGTAATTTCACTCCTCATTGAAGTCGTTTTGGAAGGTGGGATGTATCTTGCGAAAAACTTGTCACGCAAGTCCTCCCATGAGGTAATAGAGTGATGAGGATGGTTGTTTCACCATTTCTTCGCTGCTCCACTCAAAGTAAATGGAAAGAGTCTCAATCGAATTGCTTCTTGAGGCACTGCATTCACCTTGATTCCATCCCCATGGAATTGAACTGCGTTTTGAAGCATTGATATTGTCCCCGACTTAATCTCACAACTATTCTTTGGTACCATTGGGGTATGGAAGATTGAACATTCTCCACACTTGGCCTTGAATAGGATCCTATTGTTCTAGGCCAAGGTGGAACTTGTTGTTGCTCCGCCATAGGTGGAGGTTGTAGTCTTGCCGTTCTCCTTAAGTTGTGAAGGGTTCTCTTGATTTTCATATCAAGTGGTAACACTTCAAAATAGTTAATTCTTCACATGAAGTAGACTACAAAACACAAACTCAACAACCCGTGACGTACAAAGTTGGAAAACAGAACTTAAATGCGATAAAAATACTAATACTATATAGATATAAGCATGAAAATAAAGGCTAAACTAACAACTCGGCAGTTTTTGAGTAGTTACTGAGGTTCCCCGGCAACGGTGCCAAAAAGCTTGGTCGTCCTCGTCCAGGTCATTTTTAGTTGTTTGCACGGTTTAGATAACTACCCCATCTCGAGCCAATTTTAAATCGAGATGAAATTGCTATATACTGGTGACTAAGGTCGTATTCCATGGGTTTCGGTATCCTAACTTACTTCTCGCTCTATTATTATCTTACCAATCGATGTTGGGGCTTGTTTAGAAGGTTTTAATTGAATTACCGGTAGAGCAAATGTAACGTCCCGACCTTTTTCGAAAATCAAACCACAACTCAAACCCAAAAACCGGTTACTCCGGAGCAGCCAAACCATTTTTTTTAAATAAACAATCTGACATTATATTAGGAAGTTCAAACGAAAAGCCCTAACACTTGGGCAATCAAAATCCAAATACTTAAACGACTTAACCCAACATCTTGAACCTTGAATCTCCAGTACATATACTCATAATCATAATCATAAAATAACTTTGAAGTTTTAACTCCAACCCTTCACCCAGCTTCTTGACTTCTCACTAGTACTGGCACGGCCGCTCTCCTCATCTTACTTCTTCTCGGGATCCACTTCCGCTAACCCATCCTCAACCTGGTGAGTGAGAAGGGGTCAGTCTCGTCGTTAATTCCTAAGGTCTTTGCCCTTAGAAATCTCCTTACTAAAACACGTTATTAGCGTTTCCTTTCCTTAGATGAGAGTCGTTCTCACTTTCATCCTTAACAACTCATTTCAACTTTAACTCATAGAAGTTCTCAACTTTTATACTTAAATCATAGAAGTTCTCTACTATTACCTTAACTTATATACTTATTACTAGGGAATCACCACGTTACGTATCGCCGTCCGGTGTCCCTATCCTCAAGGCAATGGTACTGCGTTACGTATCGCCGTCCAGTCCATGCCCGGTCAACTACTGCGTTACGTATCGCCGTCCAGTAGTGACCCGACCATCTACCGCATCCAGTAGTGGCCCAACCGCCCGGGGGTTCAATTATCATCATCCATACATCATAAACACACACATACATAGCACAACGCGTGCCTCCACCCTTACAGGCGGTGGGATGCCTCGCACACATAATCGCGCTTACTTGAAAATTAAATAACATAACTGAATTAAAAAGGCATAAACTAAAAGACCTCGACGGAGATTTTACCCCCTTTACACTCACCTTGTTTATTGACCAATCCACTTGAGCCTGCCTTAAAACACCCGATTGACCTTCAATCCCTGCAGTACCATGTCGCCTTCCTATTTACGTAAACACAACCAATGAAAATAATTAACAGCCTACTTCGTGTACAATTCAAGTTTCGTCCAAAACCCACCACCTCATCAATCCTTGGCAAGCATACTTCTTCCTTGTACTATAATTCATTCACTTATATCCTCCTTGTCATATATATACACGTTTCACAGTAATAATCCATGGAATAGAGTTCCCAATCCATGCTTCCTTTGTGCACTTACTAAATCAACAAACTTACGGGATCCAAAAAAAAGAAAGGCAAACCGACTTACCAAGGCTGGTACCCTTTATCGACCACATCATTAAGAGCACAGGGATGTCAAACGTGATATCGGCCCCATGGATGGTTCCTGTTCAGATTCCCTTTTCAGCAATCACCAAAGATTGACGGGCAGTAATCTTACAATTCGTAGTTGTATCGAGCGTCCGTCGCTACCGCAAGCCAAATCCACTAAGTTTCGGCATTTTCCTCGAACATCAGCACCGACTCTTGCTGCCTGTATGACTTCATATGACTATGTTTTCCGCCGCCAATTCCATTTATGACCCAATACATGCTCGACGGCACGTTGGTAACGCAGGAGGAAAGTAGAGATTGGTGGAGATGAGGTCGTTGTTCTCGGATTCATCAAGCCTTTCCCCTTCCTCTTGTTTACGTTTGGCCTTAGGCTAGATAAATGCTCTATCCTTCACTTAAATAAATCATTTCCTTTTAGTTCCTCACAGAGGAAAGGCTCCACCGTTTCTAAGCTGAATGGCAATTAATGGATTTAATTCCTACCGTTCATCACTAATATGATCACTCCTAATTGAAATCCTTAAAATCTCACGATCCGTTATTCTTGCTTCCCCTGCTGCAACTCAGCTTCTAGTCTTCTACTTCATTTCACGGGGAACCGATTTCCCTTTTGTCACTAGGCTCAAGCACCACCTTTATACATGGCTCAAGACCACCTCCCTACTCCCTCTCATCTGACCCAATCGGACTTAAGACTCTCTAATTTGTTTCTTAGCCCAAGAAGTAAAGGAACAAGAAAGAGATATATTGTTTTGATTAATATCGGCATGCCACATCAAAATGCTAATTCGGCCCACGAGCCTTTCGAACCAATTCATTGACCCAACCTAATCGTTTATTTTTGGTCGAGTATAAATCCAAAAGTCGGGTGTTATAGCAAAAAACAGGGATAAAAGCTGGTACTTTGGGGTAACTCCCTCGCCCTATCTTAGGTCTAACATGCAAATGATTAACTATCTTTGGTTTATCGGA